ATATTTTTATTGATTTCAGAGAGGAAGGGAGAGGGGGAGGGAGATAGAAACATCAGTGATGAGAGAGAGTCATGGATCGGCTGCCTCCTGCAGGCCCCACACTGGGGATGGAGCCCACAACCTGAGCATGTGCCCTGACCAGGAATCGAACCCCGACCTCCTGGTTCCTAGGTGGATGCTCAACCCCCGAGCCACGCCCGCCAGGCAAGGTAGGAACTAGTATCTCCTTGTTCAGACCCGGAAATGCAGGCCCAGACGCACCCTCTTCATTTGCTTGCGTTCCCCCACGAGGCCCCCACGTCTAAAACTTGCTGGGAAGAGGGTCAGGGATGTGGAATCAGCTCTCACAGAGGGGTGCATGGGGAGACTTGCCGCTTCCTTCACAACCGCTGCCATTGTGCACTTATTTCCGTGATGATTGCATTCACCTCAGCCTCTCCCCAGGGCTTGAGCCCCTGAGGGGAGGGTCCGAGGGCACCGCGTTCCAGGGCGGGACCTAGCACCGTTCCTGTACCTACCAGGTGGTTGTAAATCTTTGCAGAATAAAGGAATGAGTAAGTGAATCCACACCACGGAACACTGTGTAACTATTCTATGAAACAAGATAAATGCCTGTGATCTGACATCTGAAGATGTCCAGGGAGTATTATTGTGAAAAACAAAACAAAACAAAACAAACACCAACCACTCCCAGAAGCCCATATAGTGTATAACTCTGTATGTACTTTAAAAAATATATATATTTTATTGATTTTTACAGATAGGAAGGGAGAGGGATAGTTAGAAACATTGATCAGCTGCTTCCTGCACCCCCCCTACTGAGGATTGAGCCTGCAACCAAGGTTCATGCCCTTGACCGGAATCGAACCCGGGACCCTTCAGTCCTCGGGCCAACTCTCTCTCCACGGAGCCAAACCGGCCAGGGCTCTGTACTTTTTAAAATGACATACGTATGGGGGTGAAATGTTGGTCATCTTCACTGCAGACCCCTGGCTAGCTCCCAGAAGGGGGCGCTTGTCCTGTCTCGACCAGCATTGTGGGAAAGAACATTCTGTGATGATGGAAATGTCCCGTCCGCCCGTCTGGTGGGGCAGCCACCAGCCATCCGTGGCTCTCGGCCTCTCAAAATGTGCCAGTGCCGTGAAAGGATGGAACTTTCCACTTAATTTGAATTAATTTAAATGGAAATAGTATTGGACAGTGCAGGTGGGGGGATGGGAGGGAAAGCAAGAGAGAGATCAGAGCATGTGGCCGGACACTGGGTGGCAGCTGTTTGCCTGTCCATGTAAATACCTCTATGCCCCCCACACACACACACACTCACACACGTGCACCGAAATGCCTGTGTATGAGGACCACACCAAGACACATCATAATTAAAATGCCAAGAGCAAAAGACAAAGAGAGAATCTTAAAAGCAGCAAGAGAAAGACAGTCAATTACCTACAAGGGAGTACCCATACGACTGTCAGCTGATTTCTCAACAGAAACCTTGCAGGCCAGAAGGGAGTGGCAAGAAATATTCAAAGTGATGAATACCAAGAACCTACAACCAAGATTACTTTATCCAGCAAAGCTATCATTCAGAATTGAAGGTCAGATAAAGAGCTTCACAGATAAGAAAAAGCTAAAGGAGTTCATCACCACCAAACCAGTATTATATGAAATGCTGAAAGGTATCCTTTAAGAAGAGGAAGAAGAAGAAAAAGGTAAAGATACAAATTATGAACAACAAATACACATCTATCAACAAGTGAATCTAAAAATCAAGTGAATAAATAATCTGATGAACAGAATAAACTGGTGATTATAATAGAATCAGGGACATAGAAAGGGAATGGACTGACTATTCTTGGGGGGGAAAGGGGAATGGGAGATGCGGGAAGAAACTGGACAAAAATCGTGCACCTAGGGATGAGGACAGTGGGTGGGGAGTGAGGGCGGAGGGTGGGGCGGGAACTGGGAGGAGGGGAGTCAGGGGGGGGAAAAAAAGAGGAACAAAGGTAACCTGAACAATAAAGATTTAATTAAAAAAAAAAAAAAAAAATCTGCTTAAAATTTTTGATTCCCCAACAATTTAACTACTAATAGCTTACTATTGACTTTACTGCTAACATAAGTAGTCAATTAAACATGTATGTGTATATATTATGGTAGTACATGATAAAATAGACTAGTAGTTAATTTTTTAAAATATATTTTTATTTTTAAAAATATATATTTTTATTGATTTCAGTGAGGAAGGGAGAGGGAGAGAGAGAGATAGAAACATCAATGATGAGAGAGAATCATTGATGGGCTGCCTCCTGCACGTCCCACTGGGGATCAAGCCCACAACCCGGGCATGTGCCCTTGACCAGAATCGAACCCGGGACCCTTCAGTCCGCAGGCTGACGCTCTATCCACTGAGCAACACCGGCCAGGGCAGTTGCAGAGAAATTAACGAAAAGGAGATAATTAGTCCACGCACCCCAAATAGGGAGGCACAGGGAGAGCATTCCCGGAAGCCAGTGGGTCAGCCTTGGGGGCGGGGCAACGAGTGGAAGCTGTTGAGAAGCGTTTGAATGAACTTTATATAGATCCGCACGGGCAGGGAGATCCCAGCTGACATCTGGGAACATACGTAGATAGGCAAGAAAAACGCCAGCGCCGGCCGCGGGCACTGCTGCCTCGTAGGCAGACGGTAATTTCTCTAACTTCCTCTTGGTTTAGCTAAATGCCCTTGAGGGCAAAAGGTGAACCGCATCCCACTTGAAGTGGGAAAACCTGGGGGTTCCCAGAATCCGCTGAAGAGGTGGGATGGAGGCTCTGGGGATGAGGATAAGATGGAAGGAGAGTCTTGGGGTTCTTGGGGGACAAGGGGGGGTATGGTGGGGAGAGACAGAGAAGCATTTTAGAGAGAGCCCCCAAACCAAGGCCTCCAGAGGTGGGAAGGTTTGGGCGGCTTTCAGGAGGAGGGGACCTAAGGGCCTTCACTTTTAATCATTTGCTCTGTTCTTCTGGAATACTAGAGGCCCGGTGCACAAAATTTGCGCTTGGTGGGAGGGGATCCCCCTCAGCCCAGCCTGCACCCTCTCCAATCCGGGACCCCTCGGGGGATGTCCCAGGGATCAGGCCTAAACCGGCAGTGGGACACCCCTCTCACAATCCGGGACCGCTGGCTCCCAACTGCTTACCTGCCTGCCGGCCTGATCACCTGTAACCGCCTCTGCCCGCTGGCCTGAACACCCCTAACTGCCCCCCCTGCCAGCCTGGTCGCCCCCAACTGCCTCCCCCTGCCGGCCTGGTCGCCCCCAACTGCCTCCGCCCACTGGCCTGGTCGCTCCTTACTGCCCCCCTGCTGGCCTGGTCGCCACCAACTGCCTCCCCCTGCTGGCCTGGTCGCCCCTAACTGCCCCCTCTCTGGCTGGTGGTTGCCCCATGCAGCCTGCTGTTCGGTTGTTACTGTGACGGAGTCCCGGATAATTTGCATATACCTCTATTATTAGTATAGATAATGCTGCCCTCCCTTCCCCCCACTTCCTCCCCGCTCCCATTGCCCTTAAACCTCTAGTAAAACTCAGCCGTGTCCTACAGCCTTTGTTTAGACGCAGGTTTGGGAAAAAATAAAAGGTTGCCCCATGCAGCCTGCTGTTCGGTTGTTACTGTGACGGAGTCCCGGATAATTTGCATATACCTCTATTATTAGTATAGATAATGCTGCCCTCCCTTCCCCCCACTTCCTCCCCGCTCCCATTGCCCTTAAACCTCTAGTAAAACTCAGCCGTGTCCTACAGCCTTTGTTTAGACGCAGGTTTGGGAAAAAATAAAATATCCCTTGTCTGTCCTTACGTCCCTGTTTAGTCTGCCCTGTCCAAAGGGATCTTAGCATCTGAGTCAGCTCCCGCCCTCCTCAGCTCACAACCCTCCCCTGACTGCCCGCTTCACTCAGAGTCATTAGAGTTCCCTTGAGCTACAAACAAAGCCAGGAGCCACCAAACTCCCCCGCATCCCTCCTTGCTCCTCGGGCCTCATCTCCCACACACACCTCCGGCACTACGTCTGCTCCAGCCACTCATCTCCCACACACACCTCCCGCACTGCGTCTGCTCCAGCTACGCTGGCCTTTGCACAGTTCCCGGCTGCTGCAGCGTGCTCCCGCCTCAGGGCCTTTGCACTTGCGGCAGCCCCTGCTGGAGCATTCTTCTCCCAGATACCCACCTGGCTCGCTCCCTCCCTTCCTTCAAGTGATTGCTCAAGAGACACCTTCCCAAGCACCCTG